TGAGCCCAGGAGTTTGAGGTTGCTCTGAGCTAGGCTGACACCATGGCACTCTAGCCTGGGCAACAGAGCGAGACTCTGTCTCAAAAAAATAAATAAATAAATAAATAAATAAAATAAGTTATAGCCACATTGCCCATATATTTTAAATAGAAATATTTAATATTCTTTTTAATTCCTATTGCAAGGCAAAGGCCATTTGAGGGTTTAATTATTGGTCTACAGATCACAGAGAGATGATTACATTGAAAGCTGCGAAGCATTCTGGGAGGGAAAAATCTCATATAGTTCAAAGCAATCAGTAATGGAGGAAAATACAACATAGAATCTGCTTTTGCACTGGAAAAAAAAAAAAAACAAAAAAACTTCTTCAGCAAATGCCAGAAATAAAGTCTCAAAATTTCCAGTAGCAAGGACCAGAGCTTCAAATATTAGCAAATCCACACTTTAAAACTACAAATGTCAAAATGCCAAAGAATGGCAGAGATGGAAAAGCTATTCCCAAGGGTTAGCTTAACACCAAACCTAAACACGGCTACTCATTTTTTTTTCTTGGATAACAAGGAAACATTAAAGAATGTATAACTGCAAGCTCGTTTCTTTCAATTAACAAAAGAGAGGGAGAGAAAGATGTGTTATTTCAGAGAGAAACTCCATAAAAGACATGCCTTTGTGAAGGAGTTTATTGAAGACGTAAACGTTGGATAATGGGAAAAATAAGAAACTCACCAAGGGCAAAATGCTCGAAAGTCAAAAAATACATTTACGACACATAGAGAAAAGCACCCCTGACTTTATTTTGCTGTGCTGCATGAAACTATTTTGCCAAATCTAAGGAACCTAGAAAAGAATCATTCTAATCATCACTACGCCCCTCGAAAAACAGGGAAAGTCTGACCAGGAATTAGCAAAGTAACCAGCGAACCTCAAAGCATCCTGACTCCAGCTAAGCCGTCCGACCAGTTTTTATTTTTACCCTCCTCTTTCCCGGACTGGCTCTGGGTAGGATCCAGCTGCGCGGTGCCAATCTGGGTCACTCCACAGAGGATCAGCGGGCGACAGCCGCCGTGTCCACTTTTAGAAAGGCCCCGCGTGCCTGGGGACCGTCCCCCGGCCCTGCGGTGACCAGCGAACAGCAACTGCGTGGTTTCGCTATTTCCAGCCTTCAGGCTCCAAGAAATATCACCTTACCTGAGAAACAGGACAGTAAATGGGAAACGCAAATCAGATACTGGGATCGGATACTTTCGTTTCCAACGTCTTTTAAAAAGCTGTTAGTTTATAATTCAGTATAAAGGTCCACATATAGTGGGAAGAAAGCAGAGCTGAAGTATCCAGGATGGATCTTTTTATTTTGTGTTTTTAATCAACACTTCAAAAACCAATCTGGTTCATTTGATCACATTTTTACACCTAGTAGAACCAATTGGGCACTTGATATTCAATGATGCCTCTAAAAATGACACTTTTCTCTTCTTGTAAGAATAGGAATAAAACAATCTATGAATGCCTCTTTTTTAACCACTCCCAGATTACAATTTTATGCTCACCTCCAAGAAGTAGCCACTATTCTGAGTTTTTTATTTTAATTCTTTCCTTCCTTTCCTCACCACCCACGCACGTGTTCTCATATATTATCACATTTTAATTAAATGTCAGTAACAATTGGTGGGGGCCTCTGGAGCATCCACTTTGCCCGTTTTTCTACCAAAA